CCCCCCCCGCCGCCCGGTCCCATCCGGAAGTCGTCGTCATCGTCGTCGTCGTCGTCGTCGATGCGACCTCCTAGGTCATTGCGGGACTCCGGAAGACGCACGCCGAGCCTTCTCATTGTCTGCTTGGCCTGTTCCTCCAGGGGCTGCTCCATGAAGGCCTTGCTCTGCTCCTGCCGCCGCGCGATCCGCTCGTGCATGTCTCTGTTGTTGGGACAGAAGGGAGAGGCAGGGCCGGGCGATGGGTGAAAGGGACGGGTGGTAGCTGGAGAAACTCGGGAACGATATAAATGGCCTATTCTCACCGGGAGGAGGTGTACCTTTGACAGCCGTTTCTCATGGAACGCAAAGGAAAACACGAAAAAAAAGCCGCTTTCGTCGATGTTGTCGTCGACGATACTTGCGTCAGTTCTACAGCCGCAAATATGGAAAGAGTATATCAACGGCGTAGGGTCTCGCTCCTGAAAGAAAGCGCTGCGACGCGCCGAGAAAAAAAAAACTCACGTTGAGAAAAGAAAAAAAGCACGCACGCAGCGCTCGTTGTACAAGTAAATTAGCAGATGTCAATGTGCGTAGTAGCCGAACTCACGACCTTCACGCGAGACAGGCGGTCGCACAATCGTGACCTGAGGACATCGCGCTGCGGATGTGGTTGCCGACACAATGCCTACAAATCCCGACCCGGCATACATGGTGGGGCGCCAGCCCCACGATGCGCACGCAAAGAAAACAGCGATTCATCCCGCGCTGGTGTGACGCGTGCCCGGCACAGGATAATGCGCTTTTCGGCGGTGGCATTGGTTGTGGCCACAGCGCCGATTTTTTTTCGTTTTTTCGCCGCCTTGAATCGAATACCCCTCAAATGAATACTGTCATTCCTGTATAAGTACAACCAAAAAGGAGTTGTGCGTCAACCAGTACCAACTGCATACTGCACACCATTCCATAGGTTTGGCGCCCTGAAGACCTTGGTGTAAGAAAAAAGAGATGGTCTTGGCGTATCTCCTGCTCATGTTGGGGTTGTTTATGGCTACCAAAGGGGTAGGCCTTTCACCCTGACAATAACCCTACGCCTGACCCAATTTTTCGCCAAATGCGTCGAATGACCAGTAGCAGCAGTGCTGAACAGGAGGCGTACTGGAACAGACGCAAGCTTATTGCACAGCGGAACTTGTTGAAAGGTGAATACAGCAGCAGTAGCACACACACAGAAGAGGGTGGTTGAACGCTGAACAGAGACAAACAATGCAACACAGCATCGGTCCATGTTAACATCGCGTGTGGAGAGAGCGGTTTGATGCAAACAGAGACGAACAACTCTTTATATTTATAGTATTGGTCTCTGTATGCATCACGTGTGGGGAGAATGCTGAACGGAGACGTGAACAATACTTACCAGTTCGAGGGAACGTTAAAGTAACGCCAACTTCGGGGCCGAGGTTCAGTTTCAAATTTCGTCAACACCGTCGAGCATAGGTCACTCGAGAGCGTCGCTGACATTGGTAGACGAGACCCACCTCGTGCTTAGGGTTCCTTCGATGGTTGACGACGATCGTTGGTGTATTGACGATGCTATTGGAATAGTCTTGACGATATGTCACACGCACGCTCGCCACGAGCACACACGCACACCAATTTCGCAGCCTAGACTACTCACAAAATAGAGTTTAGTGTAGGATCCACGGTTGAGGTAGGTGTGTTTCTTCGTCGAATTTTCATATTCATCTGAGCCTTAGTTTCTCAAAAGGTTTGTGTCTTCAATCGCGGGCGCGTAACTGTATCTGGGTGAGGTAAGAAATGGTCACCTCTCCATGGCGGTGAGCTCGTTCGCGTTAGCGCGGTCCTTGTCGTCGTAGTCCTCCTCGGCGTCATCGTCTACCTCCGCCATCTCATCGTAAAACCTGCGACAACAAACGATACAAGATTTTGGGACAAAAGCAAGCAAGCAGGATGAGGTTTAGGGAGAGGCAGGCACGGGAGGCGCGAGGAGAGACAAGACGTATGGCTAATGTTTTGGATTTTTGTTGTGCCATTTTCTTCCTATCGGGAAATCGATTCGTTGGTACATGCAGTAGGCATGCTTTGTCGGTGCAGGCTCTGCATCGGTCAGTCTCCCCCCGCCCCCCGCCCCCCCCTAGCATCGGACACAACGACAAGAAGAACGAAAGGCTTTTACTTACGAACCGAAACCAAAACGTGTTGGATGGCTACTCCTGGTGCAGCCACGGTCGTGGTCCCGGTTTAACGGTCCACATCGTGGCACAAAATGCTACATGGAGGGCATCACCTCTGAATCGGATTGGTAGCAATATAGTATAAGTAGTTCGACTAACAAGGTGCAGCCGCGCCACGGGATTTTGTAACCGTTATTCGGGGCAACCCGCGAAACAGGGAAGGAACCGCTAAACCGGGACCACGACTGCTTGCACCACAGTACCGTATATGACACAAGATAACACACCCCCCTAGACCGATTTTCAAAGCTCGATTACTCCACGACGAAGAGGATGCATAAACGAAACGATACATTTTCGAAAAGCTCTCGACGAGACGGTTTCAACGCCGCCATTTTCGGCGCTATGACTGTCCCTGCAGTTGAGAAATCGAACTTCGAAAATTGGTCAAGGGGGTGTGTTATCTTGTGTCATGTACGGTAATATGGTGAAGACATGGTTTGAGCTAAAAAATCCCGCTCTGCTGTTTCTATGAAGCGCTACAAGCTGGGCCAGCCAAGAAGTCAACCAAATGGTTAGAAGCGATTTCCGAGCTGGTTTTTACGAATTGGAACCTGAAATTGTGATATGTGATTGGAAACAGTCTTACAAACGCCCCCGAGTCAGATGCCGTTTTTTTTTTTTTTTGCGAGGTATCCCTATATTCAATAACTGAGAATCCTAGCATTGGGGTTTTTGTGGCTCATAAAAAAAAAACGGCATCTCACTCGGGGGCATTTGTAAGACCACTCCTAATCACATATCAAATTTGAGGTTCCAATTCGTAAAAACCGGCTCGGAAATAGCAAATTGCGTCATGACCTCGATACCTGGGTGCTGGGGCGGAAATTGTGTAGGAAAATGAAGGCCTTACAGCCCGAGAAAAGGGGCGCGAAAGCGGCCTGATGGCTAGAGGCGCACAGATGCTGACTGTACCCCTTTGGTTGGACAGGTAGGTGTGGGTGCTTATCGATCGTAATGACGTGACACACATACATGCAAGAGGTTGTAATCTGAAGGTAAGCGCTCCAAAAACGCATGACAAATGTTTTGCACAAATCGCACAAAAGTTGACGTTTCTTTGT